CTTGATCTGTAGTGTGACAGCCCAGGATACCGTAGGAGGGCGTGGAGTGATCCCCGGTGCGAGAGGCATGGACAATGGGCGGCGCCTGACGAGCTTCTGGGTAGGGGGTACAGGGATGAAGCGGACGCACCGGAATGAGAGGGATCCGAGGGTTGCGTAGGTATGGGACTACGCAGTCTAAGATAACTTAAAGGAATTAATTGAGCTACTCATAGCAACAAGATAAATCTACCTTTTCGGTTGCCCATCTCGAGAGAACTCCAAAGTTAAGCGTGCTGGCTCTGGAGTAGTCTTAGGATGGGTGACCTCCTGGGAAGTACTTTCCGGGAAGTGTGCGAGTGAGGACAAAACACGCAAAAAAGGTCCCGTGTTGGTGTGTGGGGACAGCTCTATCATTCCGTAGTGGCCTCGGGTCGTTACATGTAGAGACCGAATCGGGCGTTAATTTCTTAGGTTTGAGAGGGAATTTCTCGGATTTGCAGAGAGGGTTGAGTATGGAGGGAGATGATGAAGAATTGGAACGGGAGAAGGGTTAAGAAGGCGTGGATTCGACAAATCCGGGTAGAAATCGGGCCCAGGGGTTGAAAAATCCGGATTTCAGTCGAAGATTTGACGGGTAAACGTCGTTTTCGGCCGAAAATCGCGACTTTCGTCGCTGCCTAGCGCCTGGATCGGTCGGTCTACGTCTGGACCGGTCGATCTAGGTCACTGTGTTCGTCGGGTCTTGCCGACAAAAAAAAATACCATTTATTTTATTTCGACTCTAAAAAATTTGTCTAGACCGGTCGGTCCAGACCTTTTTTTGTTGTGAAAAATTGGGTTGTTACACTGCGAACTGATCATGTATAATTATCTACTATGAGACGCTTATTCTTTTGGGAAACGGTTTGTATTATATCGGTGGTAGACTTTCGCGGCTTGTAATAATGAATTCGCTACCGCCTGTTATGTATAACTATCTACGGAATAATGTATCATATACATGTATGAATGTTTTCTTCCGCTAAACTCTTAAAAGAAATGTTTTAAATTCCCGCGGATTTTCTGAAATTGTGTTTTCATTTTACTTGTCCATGTGACGCAACTCGTATTGCGGGATACGGGTTTCGGGCGTTACAACACATGCATTTCCGCTTGCATAGTCTTTTATATTTATTTATATATTTTCTTTAAGTTTTTCCATTCATATTACCGAATTGTACCTCCGGTACGATCTATCTAGTTCCGGTCCGTCCAGATAACCAGTTTGGTTCATTCCATGATTTTTAACCTTACCTATTATTCATTTTGGGTCCAGACTACGTGGGGTCCGGTCTGACCCTTATTTTCTGTTTATTTTACATTTTTCACTTTTTCACTATTTGAACCGGGGTAATATTAGGTTCGTCTAGTCTAGTTTTTCATTTTATCACATGATGAATTTTTAAGGTTCCGTTACTCTTTTTTTTCAGACCGATCGGTCTAGTCCCTAGACCGATCGGTCCAGTCGGTTCGGAACGGACATTCCGTCTTGTCCAGACCAGATGGTCTGACTGGTGCAGAACGGACGTTTCGGACTATCCAGAACGGACGTTTCGGACTATCCAGAACGGACGGTCTGGACTTCGTCTTCAACCTCTAGACTTCGCGTTTTCTCCTGCAGACCTGGAACGGACGGTCTGACCTCAGACCGGACGTTCTAGTCCTCAGATTTCATCAAAAACACTCAAACATGCATGATTCACTATGGGTCATACACTAAAACTCATAAAATCTCATGTTTAACACGAATCAAGCATCGATTTCGCATGAACACACAGAAACCCAAAATCCTATGTCAATAGACTTCCGAATTAAACTCGAATTCACTCATCTCGGGTTAATCCCGTGTCCTGGGTGACGGCTAAGAAGCTCGGTGATGCTCCCCTTGCTCTGTAGAAATCGGATTCAACGTAAATGATTCGAATTCAAGAGAGAATTCCAAGTTTGAAGGTGAAGAACATGTGAGGGGAGAGAGGGGTTACTTAAGGCTGGGATTAGGCGGATTTTTGACAGAAATCCGGACTCAGGGTGGACCAAATCGCGCTTAGGGTCAAAAAGTCGGGTTTTCTGGTCAGATTAGTGCATTCGGGTCGCTTTCAGGTCGAATCCGGACGAAAATCGCGATTTTCGTCGCTGCCGACAGTCGGGGCCGTCCGTTCCGGTTTGGTCGTGGTCCGGACGGTCCAGAGTTTTTTTTTTTAATAAATACGGGTTGTTACAAAACTTATCTATGCATTAAGTTATGGAAATTAAAGAATGAAACCAGAAAAAATAGTTGGTACCCATCTGAATTTTATCAGTGAAGCTTAAAAATATATGCGCCGCAATTCTCATATATAATCATCTGTTCGCAAGTAGACCATGCATCAATACAAAACACAGTTTATAAAGAGGAAAAGAAGAATAGTAAAAGTCGGTATTCCAACTAATTATGATCCAGGTTAGCCAAATAGAGATTACGCGAGGGCCGCATGAGCTTCTCCAGTAAGAGTGTAATACCCCGATTACCGCATAAATTATTTAAATTAACTTCGGGAATAAAATAGGGTAAGACAAATCTAAAATATAAGGTGATTGGCATAAGAATCGAACCAAGGGATCAACGGGACTCGAACGCGTCGAAAACGTCGAAAAAACAAAGGAAATAGGGCGTAGACCGATCGGTCCAGAGGTAGACCGACCGGTCTAGTGAAAGACGGAGAAAAAGACGAAAAAACGGTACAGAACGGACGGACCAGGAGGTAGAACGGACGGACCGCCCGTTCGCGAAGCGGAACGGACAGACCAGGAGGTAGAACGGACGGACTGCCCGTTCGCGAAGCGGAACGGACGAACCAGCAGATAGAACGGACGGACTGCCCGTTCGCGAAGCGGAACGGACGGACCAGCAGTAGAACGGACGG